GAAGGGGAGACTACAGATGTATACCAAATAAAATAGGAGGGGATTTGGGAGTACTGTGAAACGGGAGCAGAAGGGAAGGTTGTATTAGGGTGAGAAATCAAGTGAAGAGCTGATACACTTCTCAAAAGAATTGCGTTTTGAGGGATTTTTTTAAAGTTATGTAGGGATGTGCTGGGGAAGTGCATAAATACTCAGGAATTGCCATGTGTTCAGGTCAGTCCGCTTCCGTGTTTGGCTCTGGGTGTGGAATACACAAGGATGGAGAAGCTGACTGGCCTCAAGCCTGGAGGAGGCCACTTGCGGACCTAGGAGGGGTCTGGAACTATCTGGGGAGGATGTATCCCCCTCGGTCTGGCCTATGTGTCCCCCTCGGTCTGGGCTATGTGTCCCCCTCGGTCTGGGCTATGTGTCCCCCTCGGTCTGGGCTATGTGTCCCCCTCGGTCTGGCCTATGTGTCCCCCTCGGTCTGGCCTATGTGTCCCCCTCTGTCTGGCCTATGTGTCCCCCTCTGTCTGGCCTATGTGTCCCCCTCTGTCTGGCCTATGTGTCCCCCTCTGTCTGGCCTCCGTGTCCTCTCAGTCTGGCCTCCGTGTCCTCTCAGTCTGGCCTCCGTGTCCTCTCAGTCTGGCCTCCGTGTCCTCTCAGTCTGGCCTTCGTGTCCTCTCAGTCTGGCCTCCGTGTCCTCTCAGTCTGGCCCCCGTGTCCTCTCAGTCTGGCCCCCGTGTCCCCCTCAGACTGGTCTATGTATCCCCCTCAGACTGGTCTATGTATCTGATTTTGTTATTTCACAGCGCAGTGTCCTGCACAGCCCTTCTGGCTCAGTCTGATGTCTGCTGGTGGTGGGAGCGGGGCTGTTTTGCTCTGTGTCGGTTCTGCCTGGCCGCTCTGTGCTTCCTGATCAATGGAGCTCTCAGAGCAGGCCATCGGGCATAGCGAGCCTGATATGCCCAATGGCCAGTCCGGCCCTGTTGCTGAGTATTGTACTCCTATAGCTGGTGGTATTTTGCATTGCTGTATAATGTATTGCTGCGATTTGTAGTCCCTCTATAGCTTAGAGTCAGTGGCAGTACTTATCAGGGTATCAGCGGTCATCACTGTGACCGGGCCCTGACGATCCACAACTGCCCTAAAATCATTAGTCTGTATTGTTTTAGAAAAACTGTCACATGACACTAAAAAACAAGTTTCAAAATCACCAGAAAACATCATGCTCAAGTGTGAATGGGGGCCGAGTCAAAAGACACAAGTCCATTACCTTCACCCATAGGAAAAAATAAATAAATGTAAAAACCTCCATGTACAGAACTCTATGGCTGCAGTTGATCCAGAGGAACCCTTATAAAGGATGGACAAAAAAAAAACCTAATAAATATTTAATATATAAATAAAAATAAAATATTAACAACCACTTACAAAGCCATCCACAACTCTGCCCCCGGCTATATCTCAAACCTGGTCTGAAAGTATCACCCTAACCGTCTCCTCCGCTCTTCAAAAGACCTCCTCCTTTCCAGCTCGCTCATCAACTCCTCCCATGCTCGCCTCCAGGACTTCACTAGAGTCTCTCCCATCCTACGGAACTCTTTACCCCAACCTGTCCAACTACCTCCCACTCTGACTGCCTTTAGGCGATCCCTTAAGACTCATCTCTTCAGGGAAGCCTATCCCACCTCAATCTAACCACTGAACCATCACATTCTCAAACAATTCATCCCCACACCGCTACCTCCTCACATATCACTTGCCCCTCCCTCTAGATTGTAACCACTTACGAGCAGGGCCCTCCTTACCATCTTGTCTTGAATTGTATTATAATTGTAATGTCTTCCTTGTATTGTAAAGCGCTGCGCAAACTGTTGGCGCTATATAAATCCTTCATAATAATGTATGGTCCAATTTTCTCCAACCACGGGAAAAATCCCTGCCTTGTATTGTTTCATTTATGTCTTTGTTATCTTTTGACTATGTAAAAGCTGCTTCCTCATCTCACACACCTTACAAGGGGCCACAGTAATAATACAGAATGTTGATCCTGGTTCAGCTTTGTAATTAGAGGAGGCCATAAAAGTGGCTCATAATGCTGTTTTACACGAGGCGTAGCAGACGGAAGTGGCGGCACACAATAGCCCCTAATGACATGTTCATGTTTTGTTGCAGCACACTTGGATTTGCGGGACGCCGTGTGCGTGGAACTTCACAAGACATCTGCCGGGCTGGGCTTTAGCCTGGATGGTGGGAAGGCTTCTATCTACGGGGACCGGCCTCTCTTCATCAAAAGGATCTTTAAAGGTCTGTTTTATTTTCCCTATATCCATCTATCATTTCTAAAGCTCTGAAGAGTCCTTTCAATTCCCAAAATACAGAGATGTTTAGAGGACTCACCGTCGGGAATGCGGACAGAGAATCAATGATTTACAGAGGCATCATTATACTCCATGCTCAATAAGATTTTTTTGTTCACCCCATGGGCCAATCGAGAGAAAGTATGCTCTTCCCCCAGCCATGCTTAGCAGCGTGAATGGAGGATTCTCCCCTGCCAGCTATTGTATTCAGTAATCAGCAGCTGATTGCAATCACTGTTTGACCAACAATTTTCCACTTGGCTCCTTTTTTTTTTTTTATTCTTTATTTTTAGACAAAAAGTGTGGGGTACATTGAAAGGGAGAACACGCGGAGGCCACATGGTCTCACAAAATGTGTAAATAACAGACAGTGAGGCATATAATTATAAACTCGGTAACAGATTGTAAGATCAGGTCAGGTAACCCTTAAGGCTGGGCACACACCTTACAACCATCGCAAGACTTTTGTCTTGCGATGGTTGTAAAGGTACTTAAAAAAACGTACGATCTGCCTATCTTGCATAGGCAGATCGTACTTGCGATGATCACAAGCCACGCCCCCTGAGGGGCAGGGGCTTCCGGTGACCGCAATGCCGAACGGGCAGTGTGCGCTTGCGCACACCGGCCCGTACGGCTGTTATCATACGGACATGCCACAAACCCGCCGAACATTGTACGATGCTCGGCGGGTTTTCGAACATGTCCGTAAGTTTAAAGTCGTGCGACTTTACAGTAGTAGAGGTCACACGGCTTCCACACACCTTACGATAATCGTACGATCGCAGGATTTCCCGCGATTATCGTAAGGTGTGTGGGGACCTTAAGGCATTTTATGGTGAGCAGAAATAAACCAACACAACACACAAAAACAAAAATAAGAAGGGAACAACCAGTTGGGGCGGGTGGTCGGGTGTAGCCCCACTAAATGGGAGGCCAGCCTGAGCACGGTCACCCCCCAACATCGCATACAAGGCAGACAGAGACAAACACTGACTCGCAGAGATAAAGCAGAAAGAAACGTAGAAAGAGCAGACATTAAAGTGAAGATTGCAGTCCCACTTGGCTCCTTTGACAAAAGTCGAATCGAATATCATTTTCTCCGGTGACGGCCAGCTTAAGTTTCATAAACTGCATTTTTTAAGTTAGTAATCTCATTCATCAAGCGTATTTTATCTGCTCACAATATTTATAGGCCACGTGCAGTAGTCTAGAACAGCCTTTCTCAATGAAGGTGCCGGGGCATCCTGGGGTACCTTCTGACTTTTTCAGGGGTGCCTCAAAATTTTCACACATCATCCATGAAGGGCTCTGATGTGGAAGAGGGGGGCTTTGATGTGGGAGGGGGGGACTCTGATGTGGAAGAGGTGGAACTCTGATGTGGAAGAGGGGGACTCTGATGTGGAAGGGGGGGACTTTGATGTCAAAAGGAGCTCCTAGTGTGAGGGGGTGGTGATGGGGACTGATGTAAAAAGAGGGGCTTTTATTGTAAAAGGACTCTGAGGTGAAGAGGGAACTTGGAAAAAAAGATGGGGAACCCTTATTTTTTTGTTTGGGCTTCCCCCTTAAAATCCATATAAGGCCCTCTTGAATAAGGGTCAGAAATGGATTTTAGTGGGACCATACGTGGTGTGTTTTTTTTTTTTACATTGTAGTCTGGGGTGCCTCAAGATTTTGCATACTTTTAAAGAGTGCCATTACTAAAACAAAGTTGAAAAACACTGGTCCCAGGTACTCCCAGGTACATAAACGCATGTATACCCTCTATGGCCATGTGAATGCTTTCTTCGTATTGCTCAACTAACTCTAGGGGGGTCTGACATGATTAATGACCGCCCTGCTTATAATTGTTTCTTCCCATAGAACATCCTTTAATACATCAGGCTCATGGAAAACACAGGATTACCAGCCCCATTGGGGGCGTAAAGTACATGTTTTAATTTCTACCTCTGGGGGAAAAAACCCAGCAGCATTTATTAAAGCGAGATGTTGTTCCAGATGACATCACACCGTGCTTTGCCTGCAATTAGTAATATAATATTTTCTACAATCCACACTGCAAACTAATTAAAGGAATTAGCGCATTTCTACACAGAGTAGAAGACATTAAGGACGCTAATTACTTATTAGGAGTGCTGGGAAAGAATGGCCGGGGCAATTATCACTCCACATTGAAAAGTGATGAATAAAATGTATTCGGCTACATTTTACTTGTTCGAATGAAGAAGCAGAATTTAAAAACAAGGAGCCGTGGAAACATCTAAATGGAATTCATTTTTTCCTTTCCCTGCAGCCTTGGAGACCATTCCGTATGTTTGGTTACCGTTACAGGTAATCCATTTTCAAGCAGGGTGCCCTTCAGACTTTCAGAGATGCATTTACACCCTTTGCTTTGCTGTGAAGAAGCCATTCCCAGAAGACGGGTTGGGTATTCACTCGTCACCACAGCGCCCTCTCATGGTGGCCTGGAGCAGCTTTTCACAGTAAAGCAGGATGTAAGCACAGAGCCAGGAGGCTGCAGGCCAGCAGGAGGAAACCACATTGAAAAAACAAGTCTGCAAAGGTGCAGCCCATATTTCTATCCTTGGTTTTCCTCTAGATTGTAGGCTTGTAGAGGGAGGGATTTCTTTCCTTATGTGTTTTGTTATAACTGTATCTGTTTCAGCCATTGGTGGACAAAGTCAACAAAGGGCAAAAACAACTTTACCCCCACTCATTCCCCTACAAACACATGCTCAGTGAATGGATGGATGGTTAGATAGATAGATGGTTAGATAGATAGATGGTTAGATAGATAGATGGTTAGATAGATAGATTGCTAGATAGATAGATGGTTAGATAGATAGATGGTTAGACAGATAGATGGTTAGACAGATAGATGGTTAGACAGATAGATGGTTAGACAGATAGATGGTTAGATAGATAGATGGTTAGATAGATAGAT